GATTGATGAGCTGCTCACCAGACTTGCCCCAAGAATCACTAAGACGGATACCAATTATCTGTCCTCGGTTGGTGGGGCCGATGTCAGATGCTATTAAACACATTTATATTAAACATCGGTCCAGCTAATCGAGGACAGTATTTAACAAACGGTTGGATTGTCCTGTTATCGGTTTCTGTGTAACAATAATTTACGAGAAATAAACATTCAATTAAAAATCAATCCGCCATTTTATACGTTTATTTTAATTTCCGGCGTGGTTCCCCCTTGTCAGTGATGCAGGACGGAGGGCCTGACAAGGACAGCTGTCTAGACGAAAAACCGAGGTCCCGTGTATATATTGGAATGCACGTAAAAGACCCCCTGGCAGTTGGAATTCGATATAAGAGTAGGCGATAGTGCCGCAAAATTTCCCTCATCGCACACTGTATGGCGTATGCCCGTCTTCATTAGCCCAGTATAGGAGCAGAACAGTAGGACGTTAAACCCCATTTCATTTCATTTCATTTCATTTACGTTCTTTTAAATATGAATAGACAAGTTGAAGGGCACCTCCCTCTATATCAAAATTGCTCTGGAATCGTTCTAGAAGAATGTTATAACCTAAGGCATCGAACGCAGCTTATATAACTGAAAAGACCAATATAGAATTAACAAGGGACAGGCCTCATTTATAGTCTGTATCCTCTGAATCTGTGATACATTCTGTATGTCTTTGAAAAACACTAACACCACCGTGAGAAATTAGTTCCTAAACTTGGTGATACGAAACTTAGATTCGAAAGGACCCAAATGCGCCTAGAAAACTATTCTAGCCCTATTACAATAAATCAGACATCAGTAGGCCCTATGGATATGTGGCAGTTAAAACCCACAAATCAAATACGAAAAATAAAGGTTTTAACATGTATGTATTGTATAAATTATCTTATAACATTTTATATTTGATTATTGCTTAATAAAGACTGGGGAGTCTAGCCGAAATTTAACAGTGTATTGTCTAGAATTGTGTCACGTGTATATATTACACTCAATAGGATGAGTGTTGAATAGAATATCCAGTATCAACTGATTAATTGTTAACTTGACACCCCGTCCCTTGAACAGGGTTAGTTGTCAATTCAAACAAAATAGCCCCTGTTAATCATATTACTGCAACTCACACCATGAATGTTTTTTTATGTTTGTTCTTTATTTTACGACGCACATAACATATTTCTGGGGGTGGTTTGCTTGATACATTTTCATTCTACAGTCTCTACTGTTACCATTCTGCACACAGAGATCCATCTGCTTCACACCTCGAGAATACATTGTAGATCTCTGCCCTAAATTGCTGCCATATCCAAAAATTAGTATATTCTTTTTGTAATGTGGTCCTACTCTTGTTCACATCTGTTAAACACAAAAAGAAAAATTGAACATAGTAGGACGTTAAACCCCATTTCATTCATTCAATCTGATTAAAACACAGATCCGTGTGTGTGTGAGTTAGTTGTATTTTACGTCCGCTTCCACCGAGGCGAAATCGCAGACAACAGATCCAATTTCGTTTCGTTTTTATAGTTCGAAATTTCGATTTTACTTGTCTTTACTACACTTGGATCTGGAAGCGTTGTTTTTTAACTCGTGTTCTGCTTGAAATGAGGGTTCAGCCAAACAAATGGTCTGTCGAATCGAGCATTTGACCTTTTTTGCGCGAAACTGTGGGTAGACATTATATAATTAGCTGCAATAGAAATCAAAACAAAGCAAAAGTAGATAAAAAATACATGGCGGTCGCTAATTGGTTAATCGAATGACTGACGTAATCGGGTCAAATGTCGCTTGCTTGGTACTTGACGTCATAGAACGTGAACTCCCACTATAACTTGTTAGATCTACATGTAGTGTAGGACATCGAAAGTATAAAAAACGAAACGAAATATAGATCTATATTTTAATTAGATTGTCATTCATTCATTCCAATTGAACATTTTCAATGTTATGATATGAAAGCAGAATCTATACTTCTCAAAATTCTCGAAATATACTTAGTGTTTTGGACTAAAATCGGCGATTTTAGGACTTTAACTAGTCGTTTAACTAGTTTAGTGTCTGTTCTCAAGCAGAGCTAATTGTAGACAGACAGCGTAAGTTTAGTATGGTTAATCTAGACACAATGTCAGATGTAAAATACCATATTTGTATTCAAACCAATACACGATTAACCTGTCTGAGGTTGACTGTTTAAGATAATCGATATATCGGATATCATTACAAACATTGTGACTAGTTTTTTAATGATGAATTTATAAAGACATCTCGTCGAGATAATAAAACTCGATCTTGCCACACTATAATTAGAGTGGGGTTCCAGATGGGTTGTGGTTTGGGCAAGTTGTCGGAGGTCTGTGAAATTTCTGTAATTAGGTTTGAATAAGCTAGCCGTAATATCATTATTCGTTGATCTTATTATTAGGGGTTCGTCAGCTGCACACGCCTTTATATATTTAGATGCATATGTGCGTTTGAATGCTTTCGTGAATTCTTTAATGATTTGTATCATAAGGCCTGTCATTGAGTCAACTGGCGTGGTTTCGAATCCCCGGTTGTACGTGACAAGGAGTAGGGTCGCCTGTCCAACCTTGTGGGTTTTCTCCGGGTCCTCCGGTTTCCCCCCACTGCTAAAGACCCCTACGCGCAAGCGAATTATTAAAATAAAATTGAACCATATGTTAGTCTCGAAATGACCTAGTTTTTTTTTCGAGTGGACGTTAAACTCCAATGTAAATATAAGAAATTGTTGGAAGGATTTTGAACATCTCATTATGGAATACAATTATTTCTAGTAAGCCGGCAGAAAGAAACATTTCCGCATGATTTAAGGACACGCCTTGAAAATATTAAAACAATTTATTCTTTGGGATGGAGAGTCACGAAGACCGTGAGAGTGACACGTTGGCTAAATTTTGGGGTTTAGGTCTAAATATTAAGAGTACTTGCAGATTTTGTCACAGTCATGAGATGTAGCATGCTAGCCCTGGCCCACATCTCGTCAACTATCAAGTGCCCTAACTCTATTTACGTCTCACGACCTTGTCGAAATCTGCAGGTGGCCTTAATATTTAGCTGACCAATGATTTGGATCCGTGGTTGAAACCATGACCAGTGGTGCAGGACGGAGGGTCTGGCAATGTCTAATCGTTCGGATGGGACAGCAAACTGAGGCCCCGAGCACACACATTGGCGTGCTCGTAAAAGAACCCTTGACAGTTGGAATGCGAAATAAGAGGCCAACTTTCCCTGATAGCACACTACGTGGCATATCCCCTCTCCCTAATCCCGATTGAGGCCGAAAAATGGGCCATTAAGCCAGTCGTCGTCTTCCTCGCTCAAAAATACAGAAACTGACTCTGTAAAATGTCTCTTTATGGTTATTGACCGTTTATAGATGTTTCAGGTGTCGGTAATCTGATGACTTTGTTATTGTTCAACTTAGGATAACCGTGATATAAATCACATTAGAAGACTCCATTCTACTATGTGTCTATATCAATGGAACACTGTAGTTTAACCAATTTATTACACAATAAGGAAGGGCATTACAAGATGAAGGATTAAGAAGTAAGAAGCATATTTTAATAGAAATTGTTAGAAAATTAGTGAATTTTATCCAGTTTCATACATCATTAAGGAAGGGTGTTACAAGGCGAAGAACTAAGAAGAGTATTTTAACACGCATTGTTAAAGAAATATTTTAGGGGAGTTTATCCAGTTTCATCACCATAAAGGAAGGACTTTACCAGACGAAGAACCATTTGAACAGGAATTGTTAGAACATATTTCATTAGAGTTTATCCGTGATGGACCATTAAGGAAGGGTGTTAGATTGAAGAACTAAGAAGCTTATTTTAATAGAAATTGTTAGAAAATATTTTAAGGGAGTTTATCTACATGTAGTTCCGTACACGATAACCGAAGAACTAACAAAGATTTAAACAGGAATTGTTAGACACGATAGCTCCTGACACTGAACCCTGTGGTACACCAAATGTGAAAAATATTGCTCTTAGGTTTTATAACCAAGGGCACAATACTGCTTTCGTTCTTTTATGTATGGATTTGAATAGGGTGTTACAACCGAAGAAATATGAATAATTGTTAGAGGATATTTACCCAGTTCAATACACGATAACTGAAGAACTAAGAAAGATTTAAACAGGAATTGTTAGACAACATTTTTGGATAATTTTAGAATAAACATTAGCATGTTACATAATTACAGAGGAATTGTAAGAAAACATTTTTAGTTCATGTTAGAATTAGCAATAACATGATTTATATTTAAAGAGAATATGTTGGAAAATATGTTTAGTTCATTTTAGAATTAGTAAAAATCATGTTTTATATCTGAACAGGAAGTGTTATTCAAGACTTTTATATTTAGCAATACCATGTTATATATTTAAAGAGAATTGCTAGAAAATATTTTATAACGAACAATAACATGTTTTACATGCATATCTGAAAGAAGTACAATGTATAGCAGTGAGACAAACAGCCAAAAACAACACAAACCAGAACACAACTCATTCCAAGTCGTATTGAATATATTTTACTAAAACGTGTTTTGGAATCCCATAAAAAAAAACTAGCCACATAATTTGAAATAAATTATGTAAAAGGACACCCCCCCCCAAACCGACAAAAGAAACAAATAAAAGAGGAGAAAGTCCGTTTTATCCAAAGATATGGTATGAATTGATTTAGAAGAAGTTAACATACCGTGCTTCTTAAACAACACCTTAATAAACTTCTAAATATTTATGTTTAAATAATAATGGACATTGTTTAATAAAACTAACATAGTTATATTTACATCTAGAATTTATGGTTCAATGCAAAGTTCAGTTAACTACGACATAGTTTTGGTAGTTTGAATAATCTTTAACGTAATATTAAATCACCCTAAAGATCAAAAAAAGTACAGTGCATTCGTAAATGTAGTATTCGTGTGAATTCCTCAATAAAAGAACAAGTGGTATCGGATGTTCTGGATAGGTTAAGCAAGACACGACACCTTCATTGTTGGAGAATATAAATGGACATTGTGTTAAGAATCGTGGAATAATAGGACAACCTCAAGTTAATAAAATGGAATATGAAGTAAAGGAGTACGTCCCCACAAACGGCAATGAATTACCAAGGGCAAAGGAATACCAATTTAAGGAGTACACGACAAAAGCCAAGGATTACAAACTACGTGACCCGCCTGTATTACCACTGGAATACAAGACTGCTGACAGAATGGTATGTTTAAAACACAACTCACAGCCTGCCGTGCGTGCGACTACGGACGGTCTATGGGGCAAAGTTTTAGTAAACCCGTGCGTGAGACTTACGCCTGACTTGCGTGTGTTTGGCACCGTAGAAGATCGCAGGCTGGCCGTACAGACTTTTGGTACTGCACATACCAAATTTTCCCCCGGTTTCTTGCGGCTGGTTTGCGAGCTACCAGACCCTACGACTCTTGCGTATCAAAACACGTACTGTGAGTTCTGAGCTAAACTTAAAGGACCAATCGTTCCCCACTCGACATTGAACAATTATGTTGATAAAAGGGCAGACGTGCCCCCCCGCCCCCCGTTTCATTGGTGCAGGACGGAGGACCTGACAAAGACATGGTCTAGTAGTTCGGACAGGACGAAAAAAAACCCCGGAGGTCCCTTGAACACATTGGCGTAAAAGAACCTTTGACAATCGGAATGCGAAATAAGGGTAGCTCGCAACGTCGCTGCCCATGCACCCTGCATGTCCTATGTCCGTCTTCATTTGTCGGGATGGTGCAGAAAAGTAGGACGTTAAACCCCATTTCATTTCAGTTCACTTTTAAAGGACAAACAGCCCGGCCCGAACACCACACAAACATGTTGTGTATATTTTCTGTATATTTACATGTAAATCATACACCGGCCTACTCTTATTTCGCATTCCAACTGTCAAGGGATCTTTTATGTGCACGCCAACGTGTACACGGGACCTCGGTTTTTCCCCCATTCGAACGAATAGACAGCTGTCCGTGTCAGGCCCTCCGTCCCGCATTACTGACAAGGAGGAGCCACGCCGGATAATATGGATGAACTTTCTCGGCCAATGCAGGGATCGAACACCCGACCTCCGGGCTAGCGAGCCAGCATCCTACCCACTTAGCCACCGTGACACCCTTTTAGAATAGGAATACTTGACACTGATTGATGACTTGTTTCTGATTTTGACTTGTAATATTTCATTATGTCTAAATGTTTCTCTTTTGTCTTGTAACATTTCAATATGTCTAAATGTAAATATTTTGTTTTTAGGAAACTCAACCAGTAGCGAGTACATATAATGAATATGTGCCACCATGGACGAGGTTTAAAAATAAATTTACAAAGAAAAATAAAACAACTAAAACAGTTGAGAAAATGAAGCCGGTAGGTACATAAATTGCGTTTAAAATCTTAAATTTCGTCACCAAACATGCCTCCGACAAACATCGGCAAACTCCGGTACTCTACATCTAACTTAGGCTGTATAACGAATCCCGCCATTTGAACTACTTTCAAGTTCCCGGATTAAAAATAGCGCCCATGAAGACGCTTGTGAAGAGTGTTTTAGATACACAATCTTGACCATTATAATGAGTTTTCAATGTCTGAAGCTGTTTTTCTTTCAAGTGTTTTCAATTTTCTTTAAAAAGTGGAAAACTTTGCAACGAAAACTCTACACACTCTTCGAACGACACTATGTTGAGAACTACTTTCTAAAAGCGGGATGTTTTCCTAATAAGTAAACCGGTAACCGCATAACAATTGTATGGTTGTAACTACATATCATTTACCGTCATAGATATACAGCCGAGGTTAGATATAGGGTACCGTTGTCTGCCGAGGTTTGCCGAATGACCAAGCAGGCGAATGAAGACGGGCTTACGCCATGCATCATGCTATGGGCGATACTTTGCCGGGACAACGGCGCTGCTGCCTACTCTTCGGCAAAGTACATTAGTCAAAGGTTCCTTTACGTACACGTCAACGTATACACGGGGTCTGGGTTTTTCGTTCCACCCCAACGACTAGTCACTGTTCCTTGCCATCATTCTCTCCCCCGCCCCGTTCCTACATCACTGACGTTATTCTGTCAGTAGATATTATATGCAAGGGACAGACACACTGCCAAAGAAAGATTGGATCAAAGTCCACGATCATACGTTACACCAAGTAGTCGCTAATTCTCCATAATTAACATTTTTCCATACTAGCATAATCTTATTATATTGTTCATTTCAGTCTCCTATTTTACCAGGTGTTTCATCTGTTGGTTCTGTGAAAAGAACGCTGGACACGTTTTCTACTGGATCAAGACTGTGATATCAATTTGATACATTCTCTACTGGATCAAGACTGTGATATCAATTTGATACATTCTCTACTGGATCAAGACTGTGATATCAATTTGATACATTCTCTACTGGGTCAAGACTGTCATATTTACTTGTACTTCGGTACCAACAGGACTACTTCACAAATATAAAATCACGCATAATGTAATAATACAATTTAAAGTTACATATTTGCTGGAATTGTTCAGTTCGTAACAAGAAGGGCGTGGGCTTGGATCAATACATTTTTGAATCAGCACTTTATGAAATCGTTGAAATAAGTCTCTACCAACTTGACAAATATGGCATTTTTTTTAATTAAAACTATATTGAATCGATGTATTTCTATTATCAACTTGAGTTGATCCGATGTTCCTTCCCAAAAATTCGTGAATAGAGACCAAACAATTAACATTAAAGTCAATGGGGAAATTAATGGCGGTCTGCATCCAGCAATAATAAGCGGCGTTGTCTCTCTTAACTATAAATTAGTCGATCATGGAACCGCAGAACTAAATTACAAATTACCTCGTAGATTCTTGATTTGCATCTGAGATGTAATGTTTATTTAAACAGTATTCGTTGCAGCTAATCGACTGTTAAAGGTTCTTCGCGATTTTTATAAACGACTGTGAGCCCTTGTTTCTTCTGTAAAATTGTGTTTTCTTGTGTGTGTGTGTGTGGGGGGGGGGGGGGGGGAAATGGTTAGCACGTGCGCGCTGTATAATAAGGTCTGTCATTTAGTCAACTGGCGTGATTTCGATTCCCCGGTTGTACGTGACAAGGGTTAGTGTCACCTGTCTAACCTGGTGGGTTTTCTCCGGGTCCTATCCTATTGTTTCCTCCCACTGCTACAGACCCCTACGCGCAAGCGAATTATTACAATAAAATTGAACCATATGTTAGTCATGAGTTTGTGTCGAGTGGACGCTAAACCCTCTCTATCACTCTCATTCTTCAAAATTGGGCAAACACGGACTTCTTCAATTTTCTATCTGTAGTTGACCTATTGTTATAAACTAGGCTATTTTGAAGACTGCGAATCAACCCAGTCGGTAGCTTTCTATGGTTTTCTCATCGAATATAAACTATTCAGCGGGTTGCAGGAAAGACTGTTTGCGAAATCGAAATCTATTGTATCTAAAAACTCTTAACCTCGTGGATTAGCTCTGGGTATACCCACTCTTAAAGATCCCTAAAGGCAAGCGATTTATTGAAATTAAATTGTACCATATGTTAGACCCAAAATGACCTAGTTGTGTTAAGTGGACGTTACCCCTGACCCAACCCATCTCTACCCCTCCCCTCTCCTCTCTCTCCCACACTCTCTCGCTCCACTCTCTCTCCCTCTCTCTGGTTAACCGCCGGTGAGTAAACTCTAAATTTGTAGCCATCAAAAAGCTCAAGACAGTTCTGCTCCGATCAGGGCTAATGGAGACGGGCATACGCCATACAGTGTGCTATGAGGGAAGTTTTGCCCGGACAGCGGCACCACGGCCTACTCTTGTATCGAATTCCAACTGTCAAGGAATCTTTCACGTGCACGCCAATGTGTACACGGGACCTCGGTTTTTCGTCCAAACGACTAGACAGCTGTCCTTGTCAGACTTTCCGTCCTGCAACACTGACAAGGGGGGACGACGCCGGAAAATCTGGATGAACTTTCTCAGCCAATGCAGGGATCGAACACCGGACCTCTAGGCTAGCGAGCAAGCGTCATACCCATTTAGCCACCGCGACCCCCTTTTAGAATAGGAATACTTGACACCGTTTTACCCACTTAGCCACCGTGTCCCCCTATTTAAAATGAACTGCTCTAATTATAGGTGGATGTATGAAAAACAAGCACAAGCCGACTATGGACAAGGAATGGAGCATGACGTCATCCGCGTAATCTCCCAAAGCCCTGTATAGGGAAAGTAACGACAACTCATTTACAGGCGCCATTTTGGGATCCAACTATGACCCCATAAAAACTATGACGTCATGGCGTCGTATAGGCCAAAGCCGTGTATAGATAAAGTTGAGACCTGTGAAGCCAGAAATTTCATATGAAGTCATGCAAATATGACGTCAAGCGTACAAAGACGCCATCTTGGGTCCCAAGTAGCTCTACCAACTCATTATATTGTATTGTCAACGGTGCCTGGTTTTCGGCTAGGAATTTCATTTCAATTTTTTACATTTCAGGTAGCATTGCATATACTGTATTATGGAAGCATTAAGGAGTGCATTAAATATCAAGAATAAGTTTGGATTGGCACCAAGTACTGTGAATCAGAATGAAATAATTATTTTTTTTTAAATGGAAATAATAAATTTGAAATATGAAAAGTTGTGGATTTGAACGTTTATATGTGTATTTGCAATATAATAAAGACCCACAAAATCGAAAGACATTACTATTCTGAACTATCCTTATAGTGAAGTGACACTGTGTGAAGCTAATATTTTTGGGATCTCGAAAATTTGCCCAAGAAAATATACCATAGTTGCATTCACATTGAACCTTAAATTGTATAAATTTATGACAAGAAATGTTTCACACATATGATCAGAGAGAAACATTACCAGATTTATGCTGGAAACAATGTAAGACATAATTTCATTCACTCCATTGTAAATTGTGATCTGTGTGTAAAAGTTACAATAAATGGTTTTATGCAATCATAGAGGAGGGTGTGGGTAAATTTTACAGTTTACTGAATACACCCGTACCAGTACACACAAGAGCTGCATATCTTATGAATTGAATAGAAATTGACTTTACACAAATTGAGGAGAATTCATAATTTCATTGAGTGGACTAGATAAATAGTCTCTATCCCTAGTACATTTTCAAAATATTCAGTTATAGAAATAATTCACAATAATCCAATGATTTCATTCATTATATTTTTTCCAAAAATTATTTCCAAAAAATTGAAATGTGTAACTAAAAGTGTATAATGTACAATTGATAGCTAAGTGTATTTCAATTCTTAACAAGAAATATATTTCAAAGTCTTTCAGGCACTCGCATAACAGCCTGCTTTTCATTCAGTGCAACAGCTGTTTTAACGTTAGGATTTAGGGATGAATCAACACTCAGTGGTTGTGGTTATTTAGGCATTATATTTTATTGTCCTTCTTCCATGTTAGAAATTCCTTGTGCACATCAAATGAAAGTTCTCCATAAGATTAAATATAATGGCTTTTGTATTATTGGTCTGAAAAAAAAAATACATATTAATTATTAGTAGTAGTATGTTTAAACATAAAATAGAGTTTCTTCAGGGATTTCTGTGTCTACAAATAATTTTTACAGTTGAATAAAGAGAAATGCAGTTTTAGTTATTATAATATAATTTATGCATAAATTAAAAAGGCAGTTGACGTCAGATTTACAGACTATGACTTTACAGGTGGGTTTATATTCAAATCAGACTCAATGCCAAGAAAGTACGACCCCTTTCAGGTAATGCCATGGGAATTGGCACAAGAAAAGACTTTCTTCAACCAGCATTATTCACTTGATAGCTCTTTTAATTTTACTCAAAAAAGGCCTTAATTTATATACATATCCACTCCTGCAATGACACAAATCTAATATCCTTTTCTTCGTGATTACCATGTGAATTTTCTCACAAAGAAATAATATTCAAAAGGAAAATTCCACTGAGTGATATTCTGCTTAGTTGTACATTTTTCTTTGAATTAGATCAAATGATTATAATTTAATTTTAAAAACAAAATACCAGTATTCATTATTTTGTATTTTTATTTTATTAGTTCTCCAACATTGTAAAATTAGAAGTATAGTTGTGCTCACTGAAATATATTACATGAACAACTTTTTGAAATTTATTCACATTCGTGACATTGTTTAGCGAAGTAGGCCTATAGCCATAGGCTATAGTAAACAAAAGGGTTTGGTACGTAATTACGCCCCGGCTTAAACCAGTCGTTACATTATTATTTTGTCAATCGCTTCATTTATGTTTTCTCAAATAAACGATGACTTGATTGTATGAATTATAGGCCTAATGAATTTTCAACATACCTGTTTATAAAGACAGAGCGCAGTTTACGTAGGTTACTGACGTACTGGCAGTGCTGGCAACCAGTCGTCACTTCTTCGTCATTTTACAACTCTCCCTGTTGCATTATTTATGACAATTTTTTTTTGATATAAATAATAAATGATTGAGCGAAGATCACAACATTTGTTTGAAGTGAGGCACAAATGAATAAATATTTAATCCAATTCACTCGCTTGGTTTCAACATTATCAGGCTAACAAAATTACGTGATCATAACAAGATACCGGAAGTAAACCGTGCACTTTCACGAAGAACGTCGCGCAGCCACAAATTTTACCGGGAGTAGACGCTCGTTGGCGCTCCAGTGTATTTAGTTCTATGGTACCCGCGAGTCCAAAAATGGCAACGTTATGTCTCTATGATGTCATGACGTTACTAGGACGTCACTACCGCCATACAGTGTGCAATGGGTGAAATTTTGCAACTGTCAAGGGATCTTTTACATGCACGCCAATGTGTACACGGAACCTAGGTTTTTCGTCCCATCCGAACGACTAGACAGCTGTCCTCGTCAGGCCCTCCGCTCTGCTGTACCACTCACAAGGGGGGAACCACGCCGGAAAATTCCGATGAACTTTCTCGGCTAACACCGGGACTCCGGGGGCGAAACCGCGACATCCAGGCTAGCGAGCCACCATCTTACCTACTTAGGCACCGTGGCTCCCCGCAGAGAAGACTGTATTCCCATTATGGTGGGTTGATAAAGAAGAACAATATGTTGCAATTAAGGGGAAGGGAGCTAAATGTATAAATAGTGCTGTACTGTCGATAGACGATAATATTAGAGTAGCCACAAATTTCAATTATTGAAGAAATGAAATGGGGTTATACGTCCTACTGTTCTGCCCCGACTGGGTTCCCCCAGTGTGCAATGAGTGAAATTTTGCCCCGCATTGCCTACTGTTATACTGAATTTCAACTGCCAATGGTTCTTTTTCTGGAAGTACGCATTAAAGGATCTTCGGCCCACTCAAAAGTAGGTTAATCCTAAAAATTATCAGAAGGATGTATATATATCGTGATTTGCTTGTAGACTCTTTAGAGATCACCATTTTTTTTATCTTATTTTCAAAACCGTCCAAATATATCACCGTTACATCATATTTATGGTGGAGCCCGACAAATTCGGGCCGAAACTTTTAGCCAAATGGCCACTCCCCTTTACGCAAATAGTATAAAAGCATGTAATGCCAAGGTTGTGGACCATCTAGAGGTCAGAAATTTTATCCGATTCAGATGAACTTAAAACGAGTAAAAGAGTATCACTAGCTCTTGGATGAGGTCAGTTTTGGTGCGCATTGGCCTCCTGTCTTTTACGCAAAAATGTGAAATATGAATGA